AAGAAAAGTTGGGTTTCGAGGAATCTCTTGTTTCATAATTGTTGTGCTTACTTCCATTTTGAGTGAAAATGTCAGATGTTCCTAGTTGATGGTTCGTTGCTTGAAAAATAAAGGACAACACTGGCAGAGATACGTTCTTCCTAGCCTTCAAGAAAATGTAGGTTAAACCAGCTCTATAAAAATATGAAGACCAAGATGCTGTGGCCTCTGGTATGGTCGCAGTCTCCTTTCGATTTATAGAAGTGGGTTTACCTTGTTGCCGCAACTTGGTCTTGTTATCACGGTGACTATGTAGAACGCACCTAGTCTGAAGTCGTCTGCCATGGTAGTTGTCATGATACTTAGCATCGGACAGTGGACTTGATACATTCTCAAACGTTTCGCCGACTACGATGCCGGTGAAACGTTTGAAAATGTACCAAGTCCACTGTCTGATGCTGGGAATCATGACAACTACCATGGCAGACGACTTCGGACTCGGTGCGTTCTATTAAGTCGCCCTTACAACAAGACCAAGTTGCGACAACGAGGTCAACCCACTTCTACAGCCCTATAAAGTTGCTCGAACGTTTAAGACGGTGCAGCCGCTATTTCGATCGCTCATTCTTCTCATTGTATTGAATTGTTCTGATCTAGTTTTTTGTCGTTCTGGTCGCTTTGTCAGGACAACGTAAAAACATGTTGTTTGAACAGCTTTCTCTGCTATTTCTGGCATCGGACTGTGAACTTGGCACATTCCAAGATGCTTCTTCGCGATCGTCAATGAGCCTTACCAGTCTTAGCACCAAGCTAAAACTCTTCTTTTTAGTCGCCATAACAACACGATTAGGTTGCGAGAAAGAGATTAGACCAATTATATGCAATGATATTAAGGGGTATACTTAACAATCATGCAGAAACAATTAAGCATTTGTTACGTTCACCCTATTTTCTTTAGTTTGATGAAGGACGAATAGTTGAAAGCTTACTCAAAAGCGAAATAGAAACAATGAAGGCTAGACTCAAGGGTTGCTTCGAAAATGCGCAATGTTATGCCTAAACTTGCTAAGAAATGAATCCTATATAGAGGTATTATGATTAACAAGGGTTGCATGGTGCATAAAATGTCACAACTTATTTTTTATAAATTAAAATAAAGCTCCGAACCCCGGCAGATTTTTATAAGAACTTCTTATGACTTCGTTAGGCTGGTACATTTGGAAGTGATAGGATGGTGTGGATTGTCTGTAAATTTCGATGTAGTTCAGAGCCGAACTAGTCTTTCTGTAAGCGAGGCGATAATGTTACTTGATTGCACATTAGCTCTTCATATGGAGATTATTTTATCTTTTTAATCTTGTTTGCTGTTCGATTCTCCACCTTAGAACTGCAGGCGCAGAGTACCATTGACCGCGATGTGGATAATCTCTTCGAGAGTGAGCTTGACTGTATGCTCCTCGATGCCGATCGCCTCATAGAGAATCTGGAAGAGGCTGAGAAAACCTTCGATCTCCGATTTCCACCAACAAGTGGTACAAGTCGAACCGTCATCAATAGCACCTGTGGCAACGCCGAGGCAACCAGCTCAGCCAAGACTGCCAAAGGCCGCGTGGTCCTGGGGCAATCACGCAACCCATTCAGCTCTGGCCACTACCCCAGTTTCCCGGACCCCGTTTTAAACACCAGTCTCTACTTATGTAGGCCTTTTTCACGTATTATGCTGACTTTACTTCTCTCAACTCTTATGCTCTATTTCGATATCTTCTTCATTTGTCTATTTGCGCCCGGTAACTGTGTGCTTATAGCCATTTTTTAGCCAAACGTGGCTTTCCAGGTGCGTTCTTTGGAGTGATACAATTTTTGAATTAGTAGTTCTTTCGGCCAGAGCACTAAACTTGTATGCAATTGACAAAGTATCGCCACCATTTTCTACAAATTAATTTGTGAAGGGCAGACCAAGATGGTGTGGTCTTTTGTGTGGTCGCAGTCTTCTTTCGTTGTATAGAAGTTGTTTGACCTTGCTTTCGCAACTTGGTCACATTGGTCACATTGGCGTTCCTCTAAGCCTTCATACCAATGTGACGAAGTTGCGTAAACATGGTAAAATAACTTCTATGAAATTATGCTGCCTTTTAAAGTTTCAATACTTTGGTCAGGTCTATTCCTCACTGTCCTTTCGGATGCTGAGAGGTTTTTTTGCTTGTTCTATCCAACATTTGCCCGGATAAAGGAAAATATTTATTATAGCTACTGCTATCCGTTTTTATCAGAGCAATACACGATTTTTTTTGCTGATGGGGATTTTGAATAAAGAAAAGGAAGCCATCGTTTAATCCGGTGTATTACTATTCTAACTCAAGATGTTTTGGTATACTTAATTCCAACTTTAATGGCGTCATATCGTCATTTGCGATGTGCATTACGTCACCCTGACACCGAGGCATTCGAAGTTTTTATTTGGATATATGTTTTTATACGTTTGGCAATATGCTATATTTGGTTTGTTTTTCACTATCCTTCGCCGTTATTCATCATCTTCACCAAAATGTTTCACGTCTCTGTTTCTCCTCTTCAGCCACGATTTCATCAGACCAGACGCGATTAGAACCAACCAAGTCTCACGCTGAAGAAGGCAGCACAATGATTAAAGTTCCAAGCTGTCAACAGCGTCCCCAGCGGCAGCAACAATTGACTGACGCTTGGATATCATCGAAATCACGCTCGACGGAAATACCGGCCCCCAATAGTCGTCATGCCTCGGATACATCCGAATTTGAGCCTTTGTCCAAGAGAATCTCATTGCATGGTCCACAGGCTACAAAGAGGCAAGACAAGAAAGAGACAATGGAAGGGTTGGAGGAGAGACAACAGAGATTCAAGGATGATTGCGAGTCTGTAGAATCACGACAATCAGATGACAAGTTTCATCCATTTTGTTACATCCAGGTTCTTATTTCTTTCTCTCTCTCTCTCTCTCTCTATATATATATATATATATATATATATATATATATATATATATAATTTCATGACTCAAAATAATAGTGTTGGTCGCGAATAATAAGAGCACAGCAGAAGCATCTGTCATACAGCTTCAAGGTTTAGTAAACTTTTATTCATTGTCGCACGAGGCGATGAATGACTATTAGTTGAATTTTCCATCAATGATATGCCTAGGCCTCTCGATGTCAATGAATTTAACGTTTCCCAAAAGGTATTCTCATCTACAGTGGGCTGCAATTTCTACGTCGTCTTGGCCTCTTCAGCACATCCTATGGGAGGAGCGTTTATTTTCGACGTGGTACCACAACATCGCACTTTCACGAGCGCTCGTGGAGCACAGAACAGACATGAATTTCAACGCAAGCTAGACTTTTGCCATATCATGTTGATTTTAGGATTCTCGATTAGGCATACTTATATTTTGCCATTACAATTAACTACGTTACTTATCTTAATTGTAGGTAGTTTTCTTGAATAATACCTGCATGAGCATTTCTTTTTTGCCCCCCCTCGAGACTCATCACTGCAATTATGTTATGCCGATTACTAGCCCAACTGATTTTAGTACTTTTTTCCATATTCAGCACTACATTTCAAAGAACTTAAGTTTGTAATCTTATAATTTAATCACATATTCAACTCTTCTTCTTTATCCCTAAGCCTACAACGCAGGCGTAAGCAGGTGTGGCCTAACTTATTGCCCCATACTAAAAATGCAAGGAGCTCCTTTGTTTATTTCAATGGCTCCTCTAATCTCGAGTTTTACAACAGACTTACCATAATCCGAAGAGACTTAGTCTATTCAATTTCTTATTTAGTTTCCGCCATGTTTTCGCTAAAATCAGTTCATTCTCCTACACTCAACCCGGAGACTTTCTGCAAAGGGTACTCCTATTAAAAACCGACGCAGTCTGTCTCGAGGGCGGCATCAGCATGAGCTCTCAAGAAAAATCTTACAACAATCCGAAAAGGTGGATCCGCTATCATCGGCTAGTGAAATATTCATCGCACAATTTCAGATTAAATTAAAGTCGTATGTAAGTAGGGTGTCGAGACTACCAGTAAATCAGTGTAATGAGATGTATTAACTCTATTTCGTCTAAGGTGATGAAGGACTGGTAGTAGAATTTTCCCATAATTATATGAGTTAAGCTGACGTTTCCATTCAATTTCACATAGATTTGCTTTTTT